GATGTTAGTAGCTTGGATGTCGAGATCTAGGCATTTCTCTTGTGTTTGAGTTAGATTATCTTCATCCACCACATGAGAAAAGCCTACATCTACCATCCACCACATTTGAGGGCAAATAAACTTAAAATTGCATATCATCCAATTTTTCCATCGTGTAAAGTGTGTGCCATAAAAAAAGTGTGGACAATCAACATCTAGCCCATAAGCCACCATCCTCTCGGGTCGGTGAAGACCACAAATGAGAGACCTAGCTCTGATACCACTTGTAGGGCCGAGATGGCAACTAGAGGGGGGTGAATAGTCGTTTCTAAAACTTAATCGCGTCGGCTAACCGAAACAAGTGCGGAATTAAACTATCGGTCTAGCCATGACTACACCCATCTATCTATGTTCTCTAGCACCTAGCAAAGATCCTAATTAAGCAACAAAGGTGCCTGGCTAACTAGAGCTCACCTAACCAATTCTAGGAGCAAGGTCACACAAACCTATGCCCCTAGTATTTCAAGCAATGAGGGAGCTCCTACACATGCTAGTAAGCAAAAGCACAAAGCCAACTAAGCTCACTAGCAATGCTCAATAACAAGGCAACCAATGCCAAATTAGAGAGTGCAAATACTTAGATACACAAGCTAAGCAAAGTGACTAACAAGGTTACACAAACCAAATTAGCCACGCAAGGGAGCTACTTCTATGCTACACAAGCAAGAAGGTAACTGGTGAGCTACACAAGCTAACTAATCACAAGAGCAACTACACAAGCACAATGTATATAAACGTAATCACAAGCTTGTGTAAGGGGATTGCAAACCAATGGGAAGAACAAGGTTGACATGGTGATTTTCTCCCGAGGTTCACGTGCTTGCCAACATGCTACGTCCCCGTTGTGTCGACCGCTCACTTGGTGGTTCAATGGCTAATTGGCATCACCCGCCAAGCCCGCACGTCGGGCACTGCAAGAACCTACCCCGAAAGTGAGGGTAGCTCAATGACACGCTCAACTAGAGTTGCTCTTCGTGGCTCCCACGGGGCGAGCACAATGCCCCTCACAAAGCTCTTCTCCGGAGCACCGCACAAGCTTCTTGCGGGCTTCGATGGAGACCACCACCAAGCCATCTAGGAGGTGGCAACCTCCAAGAATAACAAGCACCATCGGCTTGCAACTCGATCACCTTGTGCCACTCGATGCAATCTCACAATGCAACACACTAGAATCACACTCACTCGTAATCGATTCGCACTCTTGCAAGCACAAGTGAGTTAGAGGGCATCCAAGCACTCCTACACAAGCCACATAGGTGTGAGGGTGCTCAGCAACTAGCCCAAGGCTGTCCACATACTCCTTTTATAGCCCCAAGGGCTAAAATAGCCGTTACGCCTTCACTGGGAAAAGCACGTACAGACCGGACACGCAGGTCATAACGATCGAACACTGGAACCCAACGTCTAGTCACTTACAGAGAGGTTCCAGCGACATTTTCAGTGACCGGACATGTTCGGTCATCACTGACCGGACTCTCCCAGCGTCTGGTCACTTCTAGACATGCTAAAAACACTGACCGGACGTTGTGACCGGACTCGCAGGTGCAGACCGGACGCAGATCCTGAGCGTCCGGTCGTTTTTTGCGTCAGTGTCCAGTCACAGACCTTTCAGCGCTAAAATGGCTATAACTCTTAGCTCCGAACTCTGATTTCGATGATCTTGGAAATTTTGGAAAGCTTGCTCAGAGGGCTACACAACCCACATGCATACTTGATCCAAATCACAATGGATCAAAGAAGTATTCCAATCCAAAGACCATCCTATAGTTCGGAGTACACCGAAAGACCGTTTTCTCTTCTCTAAGTTGATTCACAACAACTCTAACTTCTTCTCCTTTGCAAATGTGCCAACACCACTAAGTGTGCACCACCATATGTATGTGTGTTAGCTTTTCACAAACATTTTCCAAAGGATTAACCACTCAACTTGCCACGCCACTCGATCCTAGCGATGATGCAAAGTTAGATCACTCGAGTGGCACTAGATGACCGATATGCAAACAAGTTTGCTCCTCTTGATAGTACGGCCATCTATCCTAAATCTGGTTATCAACTTCTCTACACACCTATGACCGGTGAAATGAAATGCCCTAGGTTATACCTTTGCCTTGCGCATTCCATTCCATCTCCTCCAATGTCGATGCAACACATGCACCAACATGATCAACAATGATATGATCCACTTCATATCATCATGTGATCATATTGGTTCATCGATCTTGACTTCACTTGCTTTTCACCGTTGCCTTCGTCCATCGGCGCCAAGTCTTGCTCAAGCTTCACCGCCACGCGGTCCATCGCTCCAAGGTCTCCGAGTTGCCCTTCACGCTTGCAACCGGTCCATCAAGCCAAGTCTTGTCTTGATCTTCTCCACCTTGATCACATGACTCAATGTCATGTCTCATGTGCAATAAGCTCCTTCATCATCACATGTGAGCTTTGCAACATCTCCAAACCATTTTGACCTTCATGGCATATGTTGCTCACACATATGTACCTGTGGACTAATCACCTATGTATCTCACATAAACACAATTAGTCCACCTAGGTGGTCACTCAATTACCAAAACCACACAAGTAACTTTCACCCTCACCCCCAGCCGGAGCAGCGACGGCTGCCCTCGTGCGTGCACAGGGGCGATGACCCCACAGCTGCCCTCATCCGGTCTAGGGCGACGCGGAGGAGGCCTCCTAGACTTGATCTGGCCTAGGGCGACGCAGAGGAGGCCGGCTGACCTCGATCTAGCCTAGGGCGGCGCGGGGAGGTTGGAGCCTGCCCAGGTCTTCGTCGGTGATGAGCACGCACCAGGTTCGCAGGCCCTTTCTCTTCCCTTCCTGCTGTGCAAAACTGAGACCATGCAGAATTTGTCTGGCGTTGAAACCCTGTTATGAGAATTGAGAAACGTCGTTGATAACTAACCCGAGTGATTGCGATACGCCGCAAGTGGCTGAGGAGACCAATACTAATGTGTGATTCTTGGCTAAGTTCTTATCGAATGTATAGGAAAATATGAGGCCTGGTACATGTGGAAGAATTAATTGTTGAATGTTACATAGTTATGCATAGTTGATTAATTGTGCAAGCACATACCTTGTGTGGAAAGATGACATGCTTTATTAGTAGAACCAAATATTGAAGAAAAATGGTGCTTGACACAGACAGATTGTGAGCTAGTATACAGGATGCACCACATATAGCGTATGTCTGTTTAATATTTGATGGCATACATTCACTTGACTTGCAACTGCATTTATAATGTTTCATTCTCATCTTTTACAGAAAGAACAAGGCACCAGACAGATCACCAGCAAATACAATCCTTAAAGATCATCTGAAGAACTTGGTACCATTTACAGAAAGCTCATGAACTATTATAAGTAATCTCATAAATTTGGAGGCTTTTTAGGATCATCTATCTAATCAGGATTGGTTGATTTTTTTTAGATGAAAGGCATTGCCTGGCTTTATAGAAAGCTTAACGAGGCTCAGGATTGGTTGATTGGAGTTCTAATAGTAGCAACAAGGGATTATTCATGTGTTTGCTCCTAGCATCTCTATTGCCTGTAGTTGTACGGCTATATTTCCAATTAGAAACACTTTTCATACTTTGATGATGATGATATGTAATTTGGAACACTTCTCATACTTTAATGATTGATGATAAAATGTATATTTATTGGCAGGATAAAATGATGGTGCTCCAGTTTGCATTGGGTGAGGATCAATCAGGTGGCAGTCTGGCAACCCGGCTCATTGTAGAAGATCTCGGAACTGATGAATATTTATGGCCACAATATATACTATGTAAGATATACGCTGGTATGATTAAGAGTTTGAGGAGGTAAAGGTCAGGCTCTGCAATGCGCACTTTGTGAAGCAAATGAGAAGCTTCAGGAGATTACAATAGCACAAGATGAAGCAAATCAGAAGCTCCAGGAGATTACAATAGCTAACTGTTAGGATCAACAAACTTGCAAGGACCCATAGGATCAGTGAACTAGAGAACCAGATATGCATGTTTGGATATGGAATATGGTTTTGCAGTGTGTGCTGCTGTTGCTGTTAGCAGGGCAATTTTCTCAGTTTAAATATTTCACTCTTGCAACAGATAATCAATCAAAGTGGCGAATGTTCTTCATTTTTCATGTGTTGTTAGACCTGCCCTTTGCAGTTAGAGCTGCAAGATCTAACACTAAGCTATGCTGGAACATTGAGTCTGTTGAAGTTAAATTTATTTATCATAAAAATGAATGCGTAAAAAGTGCAAGGACCCAATAATGTCTAATTTTTTAGCAGCCCACTAGTCCCCGAAGGATGCAGCCCAACCAACCCATGATTGCATTAGCTCATATGCTGCCAGGTTTATAGGGATACCTCACATTCTGTGCGATTCTCGTCAGAAACTCATAACTATGATGGATAGAGAAGGGCGATTCCCGCGCTTACCTCACATTTTTAAACACATTTATGTACAAAACAACGATTCATAGCAGATTTTGTCCAGTTGCCAAAGTTTTCTGGCAATACAGCATGTCAGCAACAACTCTTAAATAAAGTATCAGAAAATGAGTACTCGACAAATGTGTCCATATGAAAAAGGTAGAGTCCACGGAAGTAGCAGAGATGCAAAACTATTACAGCAGTTCAATAATCAAACACCCTCTGCAATATGTCCCATCAGAACTTGCAACAGTCCCTTGAGTTTCACTGGAGCCTCTAATTGTCCAAGACTTACGGCCATAATCATGCGTACATACCAGATTGGCAGAGAAGAAAAGAAAGATTGAGAACACAAAGAACATTCATATAAGCATACAAAATGAAAACACAAAGAACATGGGATGGGGACTTGGGGAGGACAACAATAGTCGGCTACAGAGTATTCAGAGTTATCCTAATTCATAAGTTGCCTTCCTCTCCATGACTAAAAGCATATAATTTGCGCCGATCATCGAACAAACTAAAAGCTGGTCCCAAACTTTTGGCCTCTTGAAGCCATGTGTAGAGCTGTTTGTCCCTTCTTATCTATTCTGCAACCAATCCCTGGATCCTTATTTAACAGTGCAGTGACCATCTCCATATGGCCCATTCTTGCTGCTGAGTGCAAAACTGTCTTTCCATTATTTCTTGCAATCCTAGCAAGGCTTGCATCTGTTTCTAGCAGAAGATCGATTAACAATGTCAATGTGGTATGAGTTGCAGCAGTGTCCAAAGCTGTGGCATTTACAGAATTTGTTGTCATAGCTAATATGGGAAAGGCCTGCAATAGCTCTTTCCCAAAACCAAAATTGAACTAATATGAGTCTGTTTTTCTCAAAGAACAAAGAAGAAAATATTATACATGCTTTGCAAAAGAAATATCACATTCATGGGCATGAAGTGTACAACACAAGCTAGTCAGCTATTGTTATTCACAACAGCAGCAAAAATGTGGGTATAACAGGTCATTAAACTCAATTTTCTGAAAACTCACAGAAAGTCGAACAGTAAGTTGCAGCACTAAGCACTAGCAGAAGGTCAGATTTCATAAATAGACTCTACAATACTCTAGCAAACAAGAAAGAAACATGGCGTGTGCAACTATCAGATATAGGCCTACTTATGTATTTAGAAATTTATAAACTATGCTAGCAAACTGGAAGCTAAAACTCTGTCCATAGCCCAAATGAACTGCAAACTATTCATAATTATTCAACAGGTGCTCAGCAGACAATCATGTGCAGACTGAATGGTATTTCCCATTACAGCTATTATATTACAACTAATATTTAGCTTCTACCATTAAAATCAGTTTCCCAAGAAAAAACTACGTCCAGCTGCATGCCAGCAATGCCCAAGGTAGTACTACAGCTCCTGGGCTCACATGCACAAGAACATTTAACTATGATTTGCAAACATTTCTAGCCGACATACTTACCAACTAATTCCTGAATGCTTACACAGGATAACAAAATCATATAGGTTGCAAATATTTTAGATGACATAATTCTGGCTATGTATTGACAAACCAAACTACTGCTTACCCGAACAGAATACCTTGAACCTCGCTTAAACAGCACATCAGGCCTGAACTCAAATTCTTCAGCTTCCGACGCGTCATCGTCGTCCTCATCCTCCTCCATTTGGAGGTTGCATGCCACATTAGCAAGCATATCACTTAATCCATCGGGCAAATAATGCTGCACTGCAATTGTTGTTCTTTTGTGTACTCAACCACATTAACTGGAAGTGTTTGTGATCGCACCTGTAAGAGAGATCAAGAACGAGGCCCCTGAACCCGGACAGCTCATCGGAGGCGTACTCCTCCTCGTCCCCTGCGCCGACGATCACCACGTCGGTGGCCTGCTCCTCGTCCTCCTCCGCCGCCTCGTCCTTGGTCGTTCCCCGCCCTGCGCCACCGAACTTGTTCCTGCCGCGCGCCCGGGCCGCGAGCAGCCTGCCCCCGTCGCCGCTGCTCCAGTACAGCACCTCCGGTAGCCTGGTCCCGATCCGGCAGCCGCCCGGAGGAGGCCGTCCGAGCGGGCCATGCAGCTCGGCGGCCTGGATGTCCTAGCGCGAGGTCGGGAGCGCCGGCGGAGGTAGGTGGCGGCGGCGGAGGCGGTGGCGTGGATGAACCCTAAAAATAAAATGTTATGTTTATCTAACTATACAACTTTTATTCATCCAAACTATACTACTCAACAAAATATTCATTTAACTATATTACTTGAATCATACACCCTAACTATACTACCCAAAACATTAATTTTATAATTATGAATTTACCCTTTTCCCCTTGATTAAATAAAAGAACTACGAAAATAGAATTACCACTCTTTTATTTAGAGTCCTAATCCCCTTAACGTTGGAGGCATTGGGAGGCGTTACGGCGCATATGGGCCCACCGATCATAGACACATCTAACACCTCCCGACGCCTCCCTCATTGATGCCTCACAACGCATTCTCTCGTATGGGCCCACCAGTCATAGACACATCTAACACTTCCTGATGCCTCCCCAACCATAATAAAAAAGTTCTTATTTATTATATAAACAGCCAGTGCGTAACGGTAACGAGATGCATTGAATTCGGACGCACAGGGGAGGCCAAGATCATCAAATCAAGAGAAACATATACTCCCTATGTTCCAAATTATAAGTCGTTTTGATTTTTTTGTGCATTCATTCTGCTATGCATCTAGATAAATAATATGTTTACATACATAAATGGATGAGCCAACAAAGTCAAAGTGACTTATAATTTAGAACGGATGGAGTTGTATATATAGGCAATCGAAAGAGCCGAAAGCAACCGCTGCAATTCTTTGTTTTGAATTATGCTGACGTTGTCGATATTTGATCTTAAGACATGTAATATTAATTATTTCTGTAGGCATCCATCAGATTCTCCTGTTACTTGCTTGTGTCCACCCTTCAGACTGTATCTATTGTTGTGTTATAACAAGTTTTTGTCCATCTGCTGATCTGGAACCATGCATTTAGAAATCTATCACCAATAATAACGCTGATTCGTTGTGTGAGCTCATACAGCAGTCTGGTGTGTAGCAGCCGGCTAATACAGTCAACGGAGTGGAAACCGCTAATAGGCTTAAGGTACGTATTGGGACGACGATACATACCCACAGTTAATACTAGGATAGGAAACGATAAGATGACCTTGTCAAATTCTGGAAAAGGACACCGTGATACCATTTCGACAGCGATGCAGTTTCGGTCAACCGATATTTCAGTAATAACACGAGACGAATGGATATCATTCAATTCGACATATAGTTCACCGCCTTATATAGCTAAATTCTTATCTGTTTGTCCAGGTGACGTTGCCTCCGCGATCGGATATATATACCTCACCGTAGTATTTCACTATATATATATCTGCCTTGCTCATGACAGCGACCTAATTTTGATTGCTCGCTTTGGCAAATAGAAGCCGGAAATCACAAGCCCTGATGCAAGATGGCAAGTTGAGTCTGCCCACGGGAACTAAATGCTCCCAAAGACATTAATAATAGGTATTACTAATATATTATCTTAACTGTACATTAAGGTAATGCTATTAGGAAGAAAGCTAGTTTGGTTTGTCGAGGGTTTGAGAGTCTAGACCGTCCAAGGCACCAGGTATGAATTCTAGTTGACACGATACTATTGGAAACTACTGGAAACTGAAAATTTTCTGTCACTGTGAATCCGACAGGAAAATACAAAATACCGACTAGAAAATAAAAAACCAATTTTCCTATCAGGTTACCCACAGAAATATACCTATAGGACAAAAGCGACAGAAATAGAAAAAAAACTGGTCGGTGGAATAATTTTTATGTTGGTATAGCAATTTTCTTGTCGTTAGGAAAATTTTCGGGCGTTGACAGGAAAATTCCTAGTCACCAAGTCTAGAATTATATTCCTGTCTGAAGTAACCGACAAAAAAATCAAAAAAAAAATATAAATCTACCGTCACAAAAAAAAAACTCATAGAACAATCACCAATGTAATCTGGATCATTTATATACTAGGAAATCCATAAACTAGCTTCTCAATTAATTAATTCATTTGTATTACAATTCAATTCATTTAGCACATCACAAAATATCGTATAACCAACATGCAATATTGATATGGAATCTCAACCAAAGAACACTAGATTTAATGGAGTCAACACTTGATTTCGAAATGGAATCATTACATATAATATCATATACAAATATGATATATATATTTTTAGCATGACAAATACAACCAGTATCACAAACATGGACATGGAGAAGAAAATAAACTATTTTTTCTTGTAGAACAAATAGTGCATTGCTTCAACCATTCCTTGACTACCTGAAAATTTGAGAAAAGAACAATTAAGCAAAGATACATTTAAAATGATAGCTATAAGACATTTTTGAGAGGAGCTCAACATAAGAAATTGCTTGTAGATCTCTCTCTCTATATATATATATGTCACCAATAACTGACATGGTCAGGCTCTCTCCCGTGGCGACTCCACCTACGGCGACCTCGTCGCTGGGAATTCATGGCGACTTCGCTTCGCCAGGCATCATGTCATGCGCACGTCCATCTCATACGCCAGATCCCACTCGGTGACTCCATAATCAGAAGGAATTCCCGATTCTGATCGAGAGCAGGAGGCCACAACGTAAGGGCAAGTACAGTTTCCCCTTTGATACTACCTCCCAGATATTCAAACATACAGCCGACGAGTTTCCATTTCGAGCAGTTATCGAAAACGACGGTGAAGCTCAAACTTGCTCCAATTGAGGTCAATTGGCACTGCCATTCCCGGGATTCAGAGGATTCCAATTCTGGCAAGGAAGGCCTAGAGGAGAGGTGGAAGAAAGGGGTTCCAGAGGTGGGGCATGAGCGTCCACATCTATGGTTCCGAGCACCTCCCCAGGTTGACATCTATCGGTGATTCGAATAACCGGCTAGTAAATTACTAGTTTGTGCGTTTGACTCGGAAGGTTGTGCTCGGAGGACACAAGGATTTATACTAGTTTGGGTGGAATATCCCTACGTCTAGTCTGTTGCTGCTCGTGTTACGAGTACTAGGTTTGTAGTAGAGGTTACAAACAGACGAGAGAGGGATGAGGTCCTAAGTCTCTGATGGAAAAGTGAGTCTGGTTGAGCTCTCTGTCTACTGCCGAGTGTCTAAGCCTTTCGCTGCTTAGATGTGTTAGATGTGTCCTGGAATCGCCCCTCCGTGGGGTGCCCTGCTTCCCCTTTTATAGATAAAGGGGAAGATGCAGGTTACATCGGAGAGAGAGAGAGAGAAAGAGACGAGGAGAGAAAGGCTTCCGTGATAGCAGCGTCTTCCATCTCCTTCACGCGGGTCCCGCCGACCCTGTAGATGACAATGGGGAAGGCTCCACATCGTGGCCCTGTTCGTCAAGGACGCTGTACGTGGGTGTCGTCAGCCGGTCGTGGCGTTCCATCCCATCCTAGCAGACGCTATGGCTCGTTGATGTCTCCGCCCAAGGCCATACGGGGAGTAGGTAGTACAGCGCCGGCACGCCCGATGCTATTGGCGACGTGCGTCCTCAGACATGGCCCGTCGTGACCGCAGGTCATGTCAAGAGGCGCCTGCTGCCCTTCTGGCGTCAAAAGTTTGACCCCAGACTCGTACTTTCAGACCCATAGTGGTTGGGGGCGGTATGGACCTCCGTCGGGCGAGGTGGAGCCCACACCCTTGGGGGTCGGATGAGGCGAAGCCCGCGCCCTTGGGGTCGGGTGAGACGGAGCCTGCGCCCTCGGGGTTGGGTGTGTAGGGGCTCTCACCCTCGGGGTCGGGCGTGATGGGATTCTCGCCCGAGAGGTTGGGCGAGACGGAGCTCGTGCCCTCGGGGCCGGGCGAGACCAAGATATGCTCTTGACCATCCGAGGGAGTTAGCGTTTGCGGCCATTAGCTTCCTTCTTTCGGGTATCCCTGATAATGATACCCGACAGTAGCCCTCGAGCCTGCGGAGGAGTAGGATACTCCTTCAAAGGCTTTTTCGGGTGAAAGGATTATGGGGATCTTGATCTCCCTTTGTGGGCTGTAGGATGTCTAGGTATGGCCGAGATTCCTTGTGTTCGGACCCCTCGGGAGCATGTAACTGCTCCATTCGAGGGATCAAAAAAGATCTCTCTTGATTATGATTCCTCTCTAGGATCCGACAAATCTGCCATTGTTATGCGACCGCGTATTCGGTCTCCTTACGAGTCCAACTCTCGATCCCCTACACGCAGCAAGGGTCCGGTTGAGGGGTCAACTCATCTTAAGGTCATCCTCCCTCAATAATTTTTTCTATAAAACGGAGGGGTTGAGCCGTGCCATGTTTTTCTCGATGGACAAACTATGGTGCTCGATGAGCTATTAACGGACAAGTTTGAGTGGGGCCCTAGCTTCTCATTCATGGGGGTCTGGCATGGGTCAGCTGGTGACCGACTCTAGATTCCAGACAGCCAGTCCATATAGTTCTCGGGTCCATTCAACCGGCCCCGAGGGCTCGTTGCCTTTGTTTTGGGAAAAACCATGGATCATGCTCTGTCAAGACTCGAACATGGGTCAGAATGCTCATGTGTTCGTGTGCCCAGGTACTGTCCACTTGTGGGCCCATCCTATTCCACCCCACA